ACCATCAACAAAATTGGCAGTGAAAATCAAATGAAAATTTCTCTGTGAAATATACATGTTTATAGCAAAAGGTATAAGTTCAGTGGGTAGCAACTCTGGCCTGGTGTTTTCCTCCTCAGGACTGGATTGGGCCCATAGTAAATAATAGATGAAATAGCTGAAACACAGTAGGAGAAGTGATGGGGGGGGGGATACAGCTTCAGTATCCGCGATGTGATCACTGTACACCGTCAGTCACCAACTGTTTCTACCCATTTCCTGTTGGCTGTTCCATTGGGCGGCCATTGGGTCAATTCAGGTGATGACTGACAACACATAGCAATCCTACCCAGTGCCTTTTGAGAAGCCGAATCTCTTCCATTGTACTGTAAAGTCCATCTTTCTTCATATTAAGAGCGAGTCAGACTCAAAACCGTACTTACCTCGTACACCGTTCAGAGATGCTGGTCTACGGTTAAAAAGGAGACTAAAATTAAGTAAATTGTGTACGTACCCCTTTCAGTCATGTGAGCATAGAAATAGGTAAAAGTTATAAGTTGCTTTGTGAAAAATCTTTAGCTATAAGTTAACGTATTTTTTTATAACTGGTTTCAGACCTTAATAGTTACAAAGGGGTGACATTACAGTTTCATGCATAACCATGGAAGGGTTAAAACAATGGCATGCATTTTCTCTGAAGACATTCCCAAAACTATTGCATTTCCGCTGGTTTATGGTGACTAATATGTTAGTCTACCTGGTGTAATCATTGTCTTAAAGTAAAGTAATTTGTTTGGAAAAATTCAAACGTATTCCTTTTTTTGGTTAAATGTAAACTATTACATCCCATGTTGCTTCTGACTGTCAGCAGGCAGTTTAATGTAAAATGTGTGTGTAAAAATTCATGCATGCATGTTTGTAAATTTTTTGTATTATATTTCATGATATATGTTATACCGATGATATATACAAACAGATTTATTGTACTTGGCCAATAAAAATCGTTCTGATTGTGATTCTGATGTTCGAAATATGATTAATGTTTATGGAAGGTGCAGACACAGAGCTGTGAGTCATGCCTTTGTGCCACTGACTAATGTGGGGACAAAATGACAGCCAGCGACATTACAGGTGACAATCTAGGTAATGTTCTCTCAACTAACCACACTGCACACATTCAGTTTTTACAGCTTTCATCTCTTCAGTGTTCTGTTCTGCTTCGTGTATTTAACATAATCTTTACATGAATTGTTATGGATAAAATTTCCAGGAGGACTTCTGGAAAAATCACTCATATCGTTTTTAACGTATTACCATTTTATTACACAGTATTTTTTGGCACCGCATTGACTGACACCTCACAGCTGCTGAATTTTTACATCCAATGAAAGGAGTTAATTCATGCACAATGTCAATTTCCTATCCAATGTTAGGCACGTTTGTGGGAACCAGATCTTCCTTGTTAAAGAAGGATGCAATATCGAAGGCAAACATCTTTAATTAAAACGTCCAATTCAACAACAGAGTGATTTTCTGTGATCTTTGTTTGATTCATTCCCCCTGGAAAGGGAAGAGAGGCTGATTGCAGATTGCAGCAGACCACGGCTCCCACGGCCTCCGCTGTGTCACATGACCACAGAGGCTTAATTGCGAGTCGGGAAAGGATGTGTGTCTCTTAATGCAGCGATAAGGTTATAATCCCCCAAAATGCTGATACTTGTAATGACTTTCTGTTTAATTAGCACCATTATAAAAGCCTGTCACCCCTTATTGTCCACATCTCCATTATGCTCACTATCAGAAGAGCAAATACTTGCTAAAAGATTTTATTTTTTTTATAATATAATGTACTTCTTATAAATAGACTCGGACTATGGAAATTAATCCTACCCAATATGAGTCAATGTCAAAGAGTGAGTACTGTATGTGTATCTCTTCTGAGTAAGTGCTAATGGAGTCAGGAACACCAGCTCTGAAGTATTAAATTTGAGAATATTAAGTCTCTTGCTTTCAAATAGACCATTAAGTTCTCGTCATTTCAGTTTCAGTTTATCACCAACAACTTGACTTGATTTAATCAGTTATTTAAGGCATAAATGTTTGATTCTTATCATGCTAGTAGCACAACGTGTGGCACTTCCAAATGTCTCCTTACTCATGACTTAATGTTTATTATTATTTATTGCTAGAAAATCTTGGTGACACGATCTTTCATGTGCTACACTCTGCCGAAATGAACGCTGTCCTTATATACCACTGCTCACATGGAGTTATATGGGATAGCCAGTGCACTTACCCAGTGACTTTTGGTTAATAGGGGAAGTATTCACCTGATTTCTTAACCTGTCCCTTGTGGGTATTGAGTAGACTATCCGACACATCCAGCTCATAGAGAAAGGCAGACACCCTGTCCCATTTTCTGCCCTCCCAGATACATGGTGTTGCCCCCACCCTGAATGCCATCAAACATCTCCTGGACACAATCAGAGATTTCATCAAAGTAGCTGGGTCTGGCCTATGAATAAAGACGCAATTGAAGACCATAAAGGCTTCAGAACATAATTAGCTACAGCATCAGACAACACCTAGAGAGTGCAAATTCTGGAGAATTCTGTCCACAGCCCATCTATTTCCTCCTGTTTAAGGAACCAGGTACAAACATCAGTCGTGATGTTGACCTACCCTCTCTTGTCACAGAGTAAAGAATCACCTCTTTAGCCTCTTAGCTAAGCACCCACATTTAAATTAAGCTGAAGCACTTGATATCCCGGCACTGTTTAGCAATGCACAGCTATCCAATGTAATGAATATCGTTAACTATGTTACTGTAGCATAGTGAATACTAATGTCATTGTAGAATTAACATTGCTCTGTGTTACATAAGTAATTTAAATTTTTTTGTTTGTTCCGGCTTCATTGTGAAAAATGGAAGTACAATATTTATCCAGGCTAACTAGATCCTATTGCATCCCAGTGTAGATGTGATTCTGGTGAGTGTTGACTTCTCAGGGACCACCAAAAGCTAAGCTTTACAAAGCACATGAGATTTTGAGAAATATTTAGATGTTTTTTTTTACAGTGAGTCATAGGGTAGAAGTCATATCCCTAAATTGGCTGTAGTGTATGACTGATTGTGTATATGTGAGTGTGCATGTAGGTTATGCATACGTTACATTGTAGGGACCAAATGTCCAGACAATGTGGTTAAAAACCTGTTATTTTGACCTTGTGGGAACATTTATTTTAATCTGCACAAGGAGAAACTCAATTTTATAAAGATATGTGAATGCAATCAAGAAAATAGCCAAAAATCTTGTACTTTGCTTGGTTTCTTATGGTTAAGGTTAGGACTTTGTAGGGGTTATGGGTTATGGTTGTCATAGCTGGGATTAGGGTTATGCCCATTGAAATGAATGGTGAGTCCCCACAAAGTCAGATATAATTATTACATTGTGGGGATCAAATGTCCCTGACAATGTAATAAAGACCTGTTATTTTGATGGTCTGGGGACCATTTTTCAGGTCCCCACAAAGATTTGTGAATGCAATCAAAAAAGTAAAATGCCAAAAGTCTCATGTTTTGTTTGGTTACTTATGGTTAAGGTTAGGGCTGGGTAGGGGTTAAGGTCATCATGATGGGATTCGAATTTCCCCATAGAAATGAATGGAGAGTCCCCACAAAGATATAATTACAAACCTGTGTGTGTCTTCAGTCATGAATCGGTGTCCCATCCAGCATGTACCTCCACCATGTGACCTGTACTTCCTGGGACAGGCTCCAGGCACTCCGTGAATGAATACAATGAAAGCTGTAAACAAAAGTTGTGTTTTGCAGTGAGGCTGAAAATGTGATTAGTTTTCAGGATTTCAGGAGTTATTAAGCAAGATCCCCAGTATGTGTGTGACCTTGAGTGGAAGACAAAAAAAGAGCAGTGGTATCAGGAAAGAATAGTCTAGAAAAGTAAATTTGTTGTGAAGGTATGTGGCACTGGGTGTATGTAATGATCTTCTAATATGATCTACCTTGGTCATTTATTTGGTCGTACTTATTAATGGATTGGTCAGTTTGCTTTGGGGAAAATATTCAAAATTGTCCCAATAATTTACATGCAAATGGGGGTTAAGGACCCTGTTCAAGTTCCCAACGCTGATATGGTTACTCTGCTGACAATGGGCTTCAAACCAGTGACCTTTGGCACACAGGTAGGGATCCCTAATATATGCAGCCACAGACTACCCCATATACACTAGTCATAATGATAGAAATTCTGTGGACATAACCAACCAGTCACCTCCCTTCTCTCATTTACATAACATCATGCAAGAGCAATGAAATGCAAGAGCCGAAACAGAATGGCTTGGCAAACGCAAATGTGAATGCATTTTCTCGGCTCCAGCAGTTAATATACAAACAGCAGCATCCCATACATTATTAACATGCATTACTATGATCTATCTTCCCTTATAAGTACCTTTGGTTATTTAATCGCCAAGCACATTATATCTCACTCATTAATATCACCTGTCACACTCAAGACACACATACTTGCAGTATATTTATATTTGTTCGGCTGGCAGATAATTTGGTTCAAATAATGAGTAAACATAACACACACTCCAGAGCACTCGCAGAGATCAAAATATGTTGTTCTGACGGAGCAGTAGCAGTAGCTCGTTTGTCAAGGGGTGTGTTGGTTTTTCGCCGTGAAATACATTACTGGAGCTGTTACTTGGCTGTGATCTAAGTCAGGCTGGTGTTCTAGGCGCAGAGCAGTTGCTAACAGAAAGCTAAAGCAAAATCCTGCAGACAACGGGGCCCTCTATGGAAAAGAGTGCTTCACCCCCGCTGTAAAAGCAATAGGAAGATAAGAAGTGGAACCACAGGTGTAAGAAGCAAGATTTGAGCTACTCGACTCACAGGTTGGGAACAAGCCGGCCTTGATCCCTGCCCTTGATCTTTACCAGTGGGAACATACACATCTGGTGCACTTGCAGCACCACCTGTTGGAATCCCTTAGCACCTAGAGACTGAATATAAGGCTTCTAGAGCCGCTTGTCTTGGTATAGAGACTCCTGAAGAACTGCAGACATGCTGAGGATCCTATTGCTGAGTGCTCTGGCCTCTCTGGGTAAGAACCGACCTACCACCTCCTCCGAAGCCTGGGTTTCTGTTTTGCGCGTGAGCTACATTTTCCCTGCAGGAAATGCTTGTGTGCATTGGCCCTGCCATGCCGTGGAGGTTCTTCTCCGGAGGTTTTGCATTACTTATCTTCATGAGCATTCAGAGCTACATTGAGCTTTGAATGGAACCTTTACCATGAAATGTTGCAAACTGTTACAATATGATAACCTTTACAACCCACCTACGTTTTCATTTTTGTTCTTGTGTTTCTCTAGTGCTTGCAGAGACCAAGCCCCAGCCGCGGTACATCGAGGATGTAGAAGGGAGGGTTGTTGGGGGAGAGGTTGCCCCCCCCCACACCTGGCCCTGGCAGGTACGCCCTGTTCCCAGTGTATGAATGTGCGAGAAGTCAATTGATCAACCACACATTCATCCTTTGCTTTTTTTCCACTTCAGAGAAATTCCAAATGTCAGCATTAGGATTCAGTTCTTCATTCGATGAGAGGTTCAGTGGAGGTGATATTGACTAATATCCTGTAAAATGACATGCAAAATGTCTACAAATCACAGTGACAAATGTAAAACAAACACAACTATAATAATAATAATAATAATAATAATAATAATAAAAAAAAAAGCTAAAGGTAGGTAATCACTGGAGATTGATTGGAAAATTACCCAGGTCAGTAAGACTAAGTCAGGCTGACCTACACTCGTTGGTATTCCATGTCATGAGTGGTTTGATCCGAGTCGACTCCACTGGTCCTGTTTTCCCACGTCTTTGATGTGAATAGATCTTCAGGTCGGTTTCTGCAATGTCTTTTTGTGATTCATTATATAGCTCTTGCTCCAGTGCTAACTTGTACTTTTTATTAGTCATTCACTGGAAGCTCAGGCCAGCTGCACATATACTGTATAGCTACCTGCCTCGCTGACTGCTGTGCGCTTGTGGGGAATGATCTGCTTTGCTCGTATGTCGCTTCGGACAAAGGGATCTGCTAAATAAATAGATGTAAAGAGCAAATGCACTTGTTTTCCCAGAATCGGCTATCACTCCCCCAGGAGAGTCGCACGTTCGGTCGATCGGGCGAGCACCGGCTGTACAAATAACCTGTCGACTTACGGATCTTTGCTTAATCAGCTTTCCGCTTTTCTTTTTCCAGATCTCGCTTCAGTACCTGTCTAGTGGAAACTTCTACCACACGTGTGGCGGAACTCTGATCAGGAGAGGATGGGTCATGACAGCAGCTCACTGTGTGGACAAGTGAGGCTCCAGATCGTATGCTAGCAAAGATTCACTCTAACAGCTGCTATACCTTTGAGTATAGGAAGTCCTTGGGCCTGTTGACTCAATGCAGCCTCTATTTCAAAATGTCATTTTTCACAATCCTTCATTCATGGGCTGCATCTCGGTTAATTTTTAGACTTCCTGTAAATCGTATCTAATAATTCAGTTGCATGGCAACATTGGTGTCACTGTAAAGTCCTGTACAGTGTTAAATATACAGCACTGCAAAAGTCAAAGAAGGCAGTTGAAGAAAATGGTTAAGGTCATTTTTCTGGGTATTTAGTGTATATTTGCTGAGGAAAAAAAAGCACAGTTTTACATTAGAATATATGTAAATGAACAGTAACAAAATAAAAAATAGATCAAAATTTCCAGTTTTCTCCAAAAAGTTACTGATATCTTATTGGGCAGCTAGATAAACACAGCTTCAGCACCCAAAGCTCTCCTTTCAGCCATTCCATGTATGCGTTAAATTTCACCACCAGCACACTTAATTAATTATTGATTAGCCAAACAGTGTGGGGTAGTGATTACTGTAAGTCAAAAATACATGGGCATATTGGATGCTTGCTGCAAACACTGGGGTTAGTTTAGTAGAGGTTTTGAAATGGCTAAACTAACACGCATTGACAGACATAATATCATAGTTTTACACCAAAATGAAAATCATTTAAACACCATTTTCGTTGACTGCCTAAGACTTTTGTACAGTACTGTACTTTACAACAAGTAGACCGATATCAGCAGAAGTACATTTGCAAATAATTACGCTGGAAAAAGAAGGGGACAGAGGATTGATGAAGGCCAGGGGTGTAGCTAGATATTCTGAGCCCCCTGGTGAACCTTGGGGTTCCCCGAATGGGGGGTCGTTGGTGTACTCAGGGACCTCTATGAAGAGCTTCTAAATCTGCCAGGGTATCCATTCCCCTTACAAGCCTTTCATTTTGAACTTAGCTTCAGACCTTGTCCAGAAGTTGTATTTCTTCTGTTTATTGGCTTTGTGAAGAAGATACATGAACACAAAGAGACATAAATACCTCAATTAAGATTAAGATTAACTTAATTGATCGAAAGAGGAAATTCTTGATTAGTTCTAAATCTGTGTTGATCTTCAGCTGTTACTGGGGAAAATGGAAAAAGTATTCCTTAGGGGGATGCCTTGAAAATAGAAAATTTCAAGAAAAAAATGAAACTAATTAGATCTTACTTCTGGGGGGCACTGGGACACTCCGATCTGTTAAAATGCAGCTTGATAACTGGATGTTTATGTTGTGGCATGAGCACAAGCGAGTGACCTCTGCTGCTTAAGGCTTCATTGATGCTGTGACATGGAAGGATAGACATTCATGTGAGGTCTTCAAAGAACACCCTCAGATATCCATGCTGTCCACTTTCAGAAGGCATAGATAAATTTTGTTGCATTTGTATTGTAAAATAATAGGTTGAGCACCAGCTTTATCTTGTCTAACTAGAAAGCCGGTGTCCCATCCAAATGAATCGAGGAGTGTTGGCTGTCAGCGATCTCCATGACAGTTCAGAACAGATGTTCTATATATCTTCTGTCGCACACTCAGAATTGATTTTGCATGGTCAGGAAAAAAAATAAGACTGTACCAATTAGCATTGGTGACAGTTTTGAGATGAACAGGAATAAAAAGATACAGCTCGTGTTGTTGTATAGCTGTAATTTCCTGGCTAGGGAGAGAGATTTGCTGGGAGTAGACCAGTTGATGTTATTTAGCATAATTAGTTCACATGATTATTTTATTGCTTTGTTTGAGGCAAGCTTTGTCACTCTGATGCTTGCGGTGATGCAGTACACGTAAATAGTCATTCTGGGGGGGTGCAGTTTGGACATACCATTGATGAGAATGTTAGCAGAGCTCTAGAGCTTAATAAGTCTCCATTCTGTCGTGTGACTGAGTGTGTTACCAATAAAATTCTGTGCTTGTGTTAAACCATACTCTACTGTTTGTAATATTCAGCCGTGAACTAGCTGGATATTACAGCGTCATGGGTAAGTGAAATCGTTGTGACATTTTGTTTTCCAGGCAGCGGACTTGGCGCGTGGTTGTTGGCGACCACAACATCAACGTTCACGAGGGCACGGAGCAGTACCTCAGTGTGAGTTACGTGTATGTGCACCCTAACTGGGACCCCAACCGGCTTTCTAACGGGTGAGTCGGAAGAAAAACCACACGTGGGTCATCATTTTTTACAGCAGCCAATTTGAGATGCGCTGCTGTGGAGGTCAAATTAACATTGTAATTAATTTGACAGTTATAACAAAGCTAATTTTGCTCAGTATGATTTCCACTCCATTCAGTGAATTGGATTGCATTAGTAATCAGTTGTGCTCTAATTGCAGCAATTCCAGTGAAATATCTGTACAAGGAAAGAATGCCTAAGAAATGGTCATCCTTGCAAATTCAGTGCAAAAAGCACCATTTTGTTGTGCCTTGTTAATTTTTGTTAAATATTAATCAGAATAACAAAATTTCCAAGGAGTTAGATCACCTGCAGGTAAATAGGACTAATGTTTGTCTAAAATTTAACCTAAAACGTGGACTATTAATATGAAGTAATGAAATGAATGGTTTTATGTAGCAAATAATGAGTCTGTCATGTGACCGTACCCAGTGATGAGTGAGCACAGAGCAGAATGAAGTAAAATAAAATATTCTGCATTGCACATTACGCCCACTGTGTGAACAGCATTGTGTGCATTAGGTAATGCTAGCCAGCAAGCTAAGTGCCAGGATTTGGTCATCAATGTGCAATCCCTAAAGCTAGGCCTCAAGCAATTAGTGCGGCTGTAACTAGCATTCACAGGTAGCTCTAACTGGACTGTCAGCTCGCGCTGTTGCTATGCAATTACTTTGGATTAATTGGGTGGATGGAACAGCTGTATACTGATCTCTTGCTCTTATTGGCTCATTATTGGCACAAATGTCTGTGTGGCATCATAATTGACAGACCATTTTATTTTGCTTATCGGTTGGTATAGAGCTCAGGTCTCAGTGCTCCCTCCACAGTGGGGCTGATATTTCAGTGTCTATATTTGCAGTTTCCTGTGCATTCTATGAGGTCGAGTGCATGTCTTTATCTATGACCTCTTCTATTTGTATGGCCTAAATATACTGAGTTAATACAAATGAAAAATGTTAAAAGTAATTTAAAAGGTGAGTATAAATTTTAAAAATATATAGCTGTGAAAAAAAAGTAATTAAGTCCTATGCACAGCAGAACACGGGATGCCCTGCATGAGCCAGATTGGTTCAGATTGGTGATGAAATTCCACCCCTGTTTAGTGCTGGTCCAGTCCGACCTGATAACGAGGGCTGTGGTGAGCACCAGGCAGAGTGCTAAAGTTAGCCGAAATTCTAAACTCATTTTAAAAAACTTTGGTTGCACTTGGCTGCCGTGTGGAGTCAGTATAGTCGATGTGTCACAGCTTTAGGTCCGTGGGTTTGAATTTTTCTCTCAGCTGTGAGTGAGCGATGCCTGTATTTCCCCCCCCATGGATTCCTGGATGTCCTGTCCAGGATATACCTCATCATACACCCTCCTGGGACAGGCCCTGGATCACCACTTAACCAGTAGACAGTCTTAGTTATTGTGATTTTTTTTGTACAGAGACTGTTTTTGGAGCACGGCACGGTGGTGCAGTGGTTAGCACTATTGGTTTTGAGTTTCCACTTTTCCACTACATGCGTGTGGAGTTTGCATGTTCTCCCCATGTCATTGCAGGGTTTCCTCCAGGTTCTCCTGTTTCCCCCCTCAGTCCAAAAACATGCTACAAGGAATTGCTTCCAGGATAGGCTCCAGACTCCTGCAAGCGTACATAGGACAACTGGGTGTGAATGGATGGATGGATGGATGGATGGATGTGCTTGTAGCAATGAGAGTGGTGTGTTACCTGAAAATGTTAACACTTTACTTGACAGGGCACAAATACTTATTAATAATTCAGTTAGTACTGACGCAGAAATGATAAACAAATGCTACTTCGGATAAAAGATGTCATAATTCATTAATGATGAACGAACATGAGATCAGTATTTCATTTGTGCTATTCATTACTTGTTCTTTCAGTAGTTCCTTAGTAGTTCCTTCAGTAGATCACAAAGGTTTACAGACTTAGATATAGTAACAAATATAGTAAATGCTTAAGATGAAACGTCACAATTCATTAATGATGAATTAACGTGAAATCAGTATGTAACTAAGCCTTCGTTGGTGGTTAATTAATACATAAGTAATAGAATAATACTATATTATTTGTGCCCCATCAAATAAAGTGTTACTCTGATATCTGTATTAGAAGCATGTTCCAGCGACCGCTGGGACCTGAAATGCCAATAAACTGAAATGAAACCGTGACCCATCTGTTGAGGCACAAGTATAACGTCTGTCATGCATTTCTGGCCTCAGCTACGATATCGCCCTACTCCGCCTCTCCACTGACGCTCTCCTCAATGCCAACGTGCAGCTGGGCCCGCTGCCTCCCAACGGGCTGATCCTGCCCAACAACAACCCCTGCTACATCAGCGGCTGGGGCCGAACCCAGAGTGAGTGTGGCCAGAGCAGCATTGATTGGGAGTTTAATGACGTTTCATGTGACATTTATCGGGCATTTATCATGTTCCCATGCATAACCCTCGATCTTTTGCCCCATAGCTGGAGGTCAGCTCTCTCCCACATTGAAGCAGGCCTACCTGCCTATTGTGGACTACAGCATCTGCTCCAGAAGTGACTGGTGGGGAGCCTCCGTAAGGACCACCATGATCTGTGCCGGAGGTGGCAATGAGTCCGGTTGCCAGGTGAGTTCACCCTAGCTGCAGGTGCTCCTGCAATATATTGCTCAATAATGTTTAGTTCATTTCGATACACTGACCTCACTAACAGAGCTTCAGCAATGTGCATGACAAACGTTATTCACTAACGGTAAACCAATGAAGAGGCTTGATACAATCATCCAGAGATGTTGGAGGAGCAGAGATGACCTGTCACATTCGGGCACCCAGCACTTTGTAGGGACCCAAACTTGGGAAAATCTATCTACATTGGATTGGCCCAAGGTAACATTTTTTCCGGGGACCCAGAATTTCTAGCTACGCCCTTGAACATATCAGAGATTAATGTCACACGATACTGAGGCCTCTAGATGTGGTTTGAATGGGGCGGCAGCTTTGTGCGGACACATTTTTTTGTTATAGATCAGTTTTCATCCATATCCCTCAACCGACAGGTAACTGAGGTGAACTGGTGACTTAAGTTGCCCTTGGAGAGCCCATGTGATTACATTGAGACAGATCCCTACTGGAGGAATGGTTATTGAAAAGAGACGGATGGATTTTGAAAGACTGCACAGTCTCTCTGCAATGTACTGCAAAGCCGGCCTTTATGAGTGCATGTGTAGCGATGGGAGACACAAGGCTTTCAAATCCACAGTGGGTGGAATGCACTTCACTCCTTTAGTTATTACTTCTGCTGTCATTCATTTAAATGGCAGCTGAGGTAAATGTGTTTGTCCCTCCACTGTCAGCCTCAAGCATCCATCCATTTTCCCATAACCACTTTATCCAGTATGGAGTGATGGGAAGGCTGGAGTTTACCTAGGGAGCAGAGGATCCAAGGCAGGGGGACAACCTGCCAGCTCATTTCAGTGCTCACATGCACACACTATGGGAATATGCAGACACCAGATCACTGCACTGCATACCTTACAGTGCTCACATGCACACACTATGGGAATATGCAGACACCACTGCACTGCATACCTTACAGTGCTCACATACACACACTATGGGAATATGCAGGCATCAGATCACTGCACTGCATACTTTACAGTGCCCACATGCACACACTATTGGAAGATGCAAACACCAGTTCACTGCACTGGATAACGTACAGTGCTCACATGCACACACTATGAGAATACGCAGACTTCAGTTCACTGCACTGCATCTGGAAGGTATTACTATTCGGTAGTGCCTTGGTCCCGACGTTACCAGATATGAGAACCTCTACTGCAGCTGGAGGACAGAACATGCAGTTGGAGGGAGAACATGCATATTCCACTCACAGAGAAGTGGGGGAGGTATAAGGCGACAATGCTAATCACTTAACCTCCATGACACAAACGGACATGCTTAAATAGCTAATTACCACACGACGAATCCATTATGAATCAGCAAGATGAACCACGCGGGGAACATGAAGGAAACAACTCATCAGGCAGTGAATGAACTACCTGTCCATCAACACCGTTTAATACCTGTACTGGGAGAACACGAGGAGTGCTTTAAACCATCCATCTTCCATATCATTCATACAGTAGCAGGTCATGGTCAGGCTGGGACCAGTCTGAGGAAGCCCAGTGATAGGAAGCCCTCAATAGGAAGAGAGTCCATTGCAAAGCATACATCCACAATACACATACATCACCTAATCGCATGTTTGTGAACTGTGGGAAACAAATCAAATACCCCCCAGGAAAGCCACGTAAGCATTGTTAGAGCAGGGAGGCTCCACACAGACACAACCGGGGACAGGGATTGAAGCCACACCACTGGAAGTGTGAGGCTGCTTGGCCGTTACGCTGTCTCCCATAGGAACACATTACATTAGTGCTGGAAATTAGCAGAAGGCAACAGCACCGCTGGGACCATTTCCCTCCAAAACCGCTAACTGCACATACAGTAGCTGCCGTGAGGCCAGTGTAGCCCTGCACCAGCTCTGCCTTAACCTGCGGCCTCTCGGCACCCAGGGCGACTCCGGCGGCCCCCTGAACTGCCTGGTGGATGGCAGCTACTCCGTCCAAGGTGTGACCAGCTTCGTGTCGGCCTCCGGCTGCAACACGCCGAAGAAGCCCACCGTTTTCACCCGCGTCTCCGCCTACATCAGCTGGATGGAGGGTGTAAGTACCCAGAAGGCCTTTGGGCCTGCACTCCTGGGGTCATGGTGTCTGAAGATCCAAGGAGAACCTCTGCTGTAAACCGGGACTGGTGCCCTGACACTGTAATTCAGAGAAATAACGAAATAACGTAATCATAACAGTAGCTGTCCTATAATAACCAAATTAGCTCAAAACGTTTTCTTTCAACAAGAAATGAAAATTATCCTCAAATTCAGTTGCTGAGAATTATATGTAATGTCTTTTTGTATAAACAGTGAATGTGTTTACAGCTTTTTTCTTTTTTTTTATGCTACAGATCATGGGCTGAAGCAGAAAAAAAATCAAAGATAAGAACTGAACTGCCATTCCCCTCCCTTCAGGCCTAGATACTGTATAGCCCAGATTGATGGATTACTGAAGAATAAAATTGCACGTCCTGCATGAAAACAGGCCTGTCTGTCTCGGTGTTATGGAGGCAGAGTGTATCCAGGTGCGGTTCCCCTTGTGTCGGGTGCAGGCAGGGCTCCATGTCCACCTGTGCTTTCAAAGTTCAAACCTTGGTGGGGATGAGACAGAAAACTTTCTCCACTTGCGCTGAACTCGGAAGCATCTGGGGCTTAATACCTGTGCTGCTTATGTTCAGCTTCCAATAGTGTTTCATCAACAATTCAAAAAGCAAAGCTAGAATTTTCTATCTATCTTCCATAACCGTTTATCCGGTACAGGGTCATGGGGAGTTTGGGGCACCTTCCAAAAAGCACAGGAGACCCCCGGACAGGATGCCCATCACACACACACACACACATGTAGGGTAAACATATCCTTATGAGGACCGCTCATTCATTTCAATGGGAAAAATGCTAACGCTAACTATGACAGCCTTAACCCCTACCCTGCCCTAACCATAACCATAAGTAACCTAACAAAATACAAGAGTTTTTGCATTTTTAGTTTATTCATAGCAGTCACCGATTTGTAAAATAGAGTTTTCCCTTATGGGGACCAGGAAACCGGTCCCCATAAGGGAAAAAAATTGATATTTATCACGTTATGGGGACATTATGTTCCCATAAGGATAGGTAAACCCGCTCGCGCGCGCGCGCACACACACACACACACACACGCACACACACACACACACACACACACACACGCAAAATCACCAAGTTTTGGACAGTGGTAAGAAAACCACAAACACATAGCATGAAGCATGAAGATGAAAACTTCACACCGAGAAACAGGATTCAAAACCCTAACAAAGGGTTACTCATTTATTGTATATAGTCTCTGAACCCTGTATAGAACAAGAAGCGGGAATAGAAAATGGATGGATGGATGGATGGATGATGTTGGTAGTTGCAGCACGAGTAAGTTGAATATAAAATAAATAATATATATATATATATATTTTATATATTTATATTTATAAATATATATATATATATATATATATATATATATATATATATATA